TCAAATGCTATTAACATTAAAATCAGTAGACAATGAGTAAAACGCATTACCCTCCATCATGTGGGTGGGCCTCATCCAATCAGTTGAAGGCTTTAAGAGCAAAGGCTGAGGTCCGCTGAAGAAGACGGAATTCTGCCTCCAGACTGCAATGTAGAAATTCTGCCTGAGTTTGCAGGCTTCAGACTCAAGACTGCAACATCAACTCTTTTCTGAATTGCCAGCCTGCTGGCCAGCCCTGAATTTCAGACCTGTCAGCCCCCACAACTGCATAAGCCAATTCCTTAAAATAAATCTCCCCCTCTCTTGCCCCAGTTGCCCAATTGGTTCCATTTCTCTGTAATATATCCATACAGTGGAATATTACTAATCATAAAAAGAAATGAGGCCAGGCACGGTGGCTCACCCGTGTAATCCTAGCACTCTGGGAGGCCGAGGCGGGAGGATCGTTTGAGCTCAGGAGTTCGAGATCAGCCTGAGCAAGAGTGAGACCCTGTCTCTGCTAAAAATAGAAGGAAATTTACTGGACAACTAAAAATATATAGAAAAAGTTAGCCGGGCATGGTGGCGCATGTCTGTAGTCCCAGCTAGTCGGGAGGCTGAGGCAGGAGGATCGCTTGAGCCCAGGAGTTTGAGGTTGCTGTGAGCTAGGCTGAGGCCATGGCACTCTAGCCCGGGCAACAGAGCGAGACTCTGTCTCAAAAAAAAAAAAAAACACATAAAAAAGAATGAGAGGGAGCATTGGTCCCAGGGCCCGGCCACCCCCACCCAAAAAAAAAGGAATGAAGTACTGATACATGCTACAACATGGATGAACCTTGACAACATTATACTAAGAGAAAGAAGCCAGACACAAAAGGCCACACATGATCATATATTGTATGATTCCATTTATATGAAATGTCCAGAATAGATGAATCCATTGAGATGGAAAGTTGATTAGTGTTTGCCTAGGTCTAGGGGGAGGGGAGAATGGGGAGTGAGTGATTAATGGGTATGGGTTTCTTCTTTGGGGTGACGAAATGTTCTGGCACTAGATTGTGGTAATGGCTGCATGACTTTATACTAAAACCACTAAATTGTACACTTTAAATGGGCGAATTGTGTGGTATGTGAATTATATCTCAATAAAGCTATATCTATTTCATCCCCCTTCCTCCCCTCTTCCCCCTCTCCCCCCCATCAGGCAGTGTAAATAGAACTAGCCAGCTGCCTGGCAACACCCATCATCCCCAAATTGCATGCTGCATTTTGCGACCGCACTTCTTTCCCTTCAAGGCTAATTTAGATGTTCATTTTTAACCAGATTTGCTGAAGAAAAATGCTAGGGGTGAGGGCTGCAGGGAACTCTGGGCTCCAGGCCCAGATCCCAGCTATGGATGATACTCATGAGGGAGTACCTCGGAACTAACAGGCGAGAGTCTTCTCAGAAAACTTACAGCAAAAAGAGAAATAAGACCCAGCTGATATATAACTGATTTTGCATTAGATAATCTTTTAAGTATGCTAACAGCCCAAGCTGAGCATTCTATAGAAAAAAACCAGCCTGAGCAAGAGTGAGACCCCATCTCTACAAAAAATAGAAAAATTAGCCAGGCATGGTGGTGCACCCCTGTAGGCCCAGCTACTCGGGAGGCTGAGGCAGGAGGATCTCTTGAGCCCAGGAGTTTGAGGTTGCTGTGAGCTATCACGATGCCGCTGCACTCTAGCCAGGGTGACAGAGCAAGATTTTGTGTCAAAAAAAAAAAGAAAGAAAAGAAAAAAAAAAGCCACCCTTCCATCCTGGCTACTGATTCTCTGGACCTTGCCCGTCGCCTCCCACCAACAAGGGTTCCATGACTGGGCTGTCAGCCACTTGCTGAACTTCTTCTCTGTCTTTCCTCTCCTCTTTCCTCTCCTCTTCCCTCATGATTGCCAATCACCTCTTCCAAAGCAGCTCCTGGAGGCCTGACTAGTTTTCAGGCTGTAGTGGCTTGGAAAGCTCAACCCTATCCCTGAGCCTTACATGGTTCAGAGGGGTTCTGAATGCTAATAAAGCTGCCCAGAGCTTTCAGACCAGATGACTTTTAGATCCATTCTTTGTTCCTGCCGAGTCAGGGGTGAGAGGTGGGGTGGGTAAGGAGTCAGACCTTGATCCTACCTTTCTTGCAGAATTCTGGTGCTTTTCAGAGGGAGAAATTGACCCTTGAACACTACCTAGCATTCAGGGGGAAGCCTCGGGGTCACCTCAGATGACTAGTCCTTGGGAGATCAGTGCTCTTAATGGGCAAGGGGTCCTCAGGACCGCAGCAGTCTCATGAGCCAACGTTTTTAGCATCTCCAGTCCTACCTAAGAAGAGTAAAGAGCTGGAATCTAGAGATGGCGTGAAAGACCAAAAAGGGTGTTGGACAGAAACAGGGCAAATTCTCAGTTAGCTTCTCCCAGCAGGGCAAAGGAACAGGGAAATAAGAGACCAGAGTATTTAGTGACCTAAAGCGTCAGAAAGTCCTAGGGCTGAAAATAGAGAAGCTGGTGGGTGAGAGGATCAGATGGCAGGAACTTTTAACGGGTCTATACCAGCTATGGGGGAATCTACTAAAAGTATGGTAGGGGCTCTGCCTTCAAGGAACCTATAATAATCCAGTTGAGGGATAAAAATTAATACACTTGAAATAATTTGTAATTTGGTGCTAAACTGTGGTATCGACCAAAAAAATGCTGTAGGAACTCTGAGAAGGGACAGATCATGTGGGCTGGCAGGCATCCTCTGTGAGCTGAATGCCCTGGCTCCAGGGGCCGCAGCTTTTAGAGATGAGTGTGTCTGAGTCTTGCATGGTTTCTTGGAGGAAATATGGGGAAGGAAGCTTCATCATCATCACCATTTGTCAATCAGCATTGTCATTAACAAGTGTCACAATAAACACTGAGCATCCCTCCCTCACTAACTTTACACTTCTGTTGGAGAGGCAGGGCAAACATGGAAAGAGGTGAAAGGCTAGTACAAGAGGGCATGTGCAAGTAGCACAAAGAGGGAGAAAAATGAGGGTCCGGGAGATCAGAGAAGGCTTCCTGGAGGAGGTAGTCTTTGAGCTAACCCTTGAAGGAAGGTTAGCATTTGGACTAATGGTGAAAAGAGGCAAAAGGGGCTGTAAATGGTATCAAGGCACAGAGGTGGGAGTGAGCAAGGCAAATATGAGAGGTGAGAAAAACAGCTGGATTAAAGCAAAGGGTGTGTGGTAAGGTAGCGTAGGCCACAAAGTTTGAGAGGAAAGTAGTGTAGTGATTATAGAAAGCCTTGAATGACAAGAGTCATTTTGGAACAAAGTAGGAAGTCATTGTAGATTTGTGCATTTGGGGAGAGATGCCACGGAAAAGGAGGAAAGGCTAAAAGAAAAACATTGGGGTTCTTCATTCTTCCCAGCTTTGCTCTCCTGTATTAGGGTGACCAACTCACCCCATCCCAGCAAAATGTTATGAGTTGGTCACCCTGCCTGAAATCCACCTCGTAAACAGGTTCTTAAAGCAATCCTGAGAGGTTCTGCCCCATAGAGTGCTGGTGGAGAACCTCGTCCCAGTTGGACTGTCCCAACCAATCGACACTTTGTCGGAAGTTGTTCTCAATAGTGTTGCTTTCCCTTGTGAAACGCTGAGGAAGAAGCAACCTCCTAGCCCAGCTGCTAGCACAGGTGCAGACCAAGATGGCAAGTCTACTTCAGAAAGCAACCTTTAGATGCAGAATCTGCCCCTGAATCAGCCCTGGCGATAGAAGGCAGCAGTTGTGGGAACCTTAAAAAACAACCCAACAACAAGACTAAATCTATCTTGAGGCCATCATTTTGGTGGCTGCTACTTGGTCACTCCTCATATAGATTCGCTTTACTGACTTCCTGCAGCAAAAAGAGATTGGCACAAGCTCTGCTATATTTGTATTATTACCAGGAGACAGATGTTTTCTCTTTTTCTCTGGGGTTTAGAATTATGCAAATGAAGGCTTGCAAACAAAAGCTCAGCGAGGTGGGGGAGGATTGCTCTTAAGAATCCAGGCAATTTTCAGAGCTCTTTAAGACACCCCTCTCAGTTTTTAGTAACAGCTCTCTTGGCTCCTCTCCAGGCTATTTAGAGCTTGGCACCTCTTCAGAACCTTTCAACCAAAGACCTGAAAGTTCATTCTAAGCCTCCCCCTATCTTGGCCTCATTTTGCAAGTGGAGAAATCAAGGTATATAATATGAGCTTTCAGTGTCTGTGGGCTGTTCTCGAGTCTTGACCTCTATCCTGTGATTCTATCTTCCTTCTGCTGGAAACTCTGGCCCAATTGCCTCCCAGGTTCCCTCTCCCGTGATGTTATCTGGAGGGCAATAGGACCTAGGGAGGTTCAAGCCTGAGGCCGACCGAGGAAGACACACCTGCCTAACCGCGTGGGTTGAGTGAATGCCGGAGCGAGCCTCTTAACTAGTCAGACAGGGCGGGGTGGAAGTGGGCGCCTGCTACTCTTGGCGAAGAGGAAAGCTGTGGCTCCCTCCTGGGTCCGAGGGGTCGTGGGGAGAAGTGCTTCTGAAGAGTGGCCCAAGCCCCTTTTTGTCGCGCCTCTCCACAGGGAGCATCCTTCGGCTGGCCGCCCTGGAACTCTCTGGCTGGTTTTGTTTGGTCCCAGCTGTCCCGCCCATCTCTCCCGCCCCCGCCATCCCAGTGCCTTCGTCCCCGTAGCTGCCGACCTCTCTCGGCTGGAATCGCGGGCCAGGCAGGACCCTGGCTGCAGACGGCATCCAAGAGTTTGGCGACATCGGCGCAGCCGGGTTGGCGCCCTCCCTGTTGCGCCTCTCACTAGCGAAGTTTCTCGCAGGAGAAGAAGCCCGTCTAGCCTTTTCTCGATCCCGCAGAGCGCGCGCACTTTGCTTCTCTGCCTGGAGACTGCGCTGGTGGACAGAGCTGTGGCAATACTCCTGTCCCCGACCCGGCTGTCTCGGGGGCGGGGCTCGAGGAATCCGAGCAGCCATCCTGAGAACCCTGGACTCCACGGCGGTCCTGAGAGAGCGCCGGTGAACGGGCGAGCGGGCGAGCTGATAGCCACAACCTAGCAGTAGCTAGGATTCCTGCGCACTGCATCCCCAAAGGGACTCTCAGGCTGAGCCCCCTCTCCTGCCCTGGCTCGGTTCTCTGCTGACTTGAGAGGGCACACTGGGACTCCTTAGGAGGAGCTGCTGAGTGTGGGTTCCCCGTCAGAGTGGCTACCCCCTGCCAGGGGTCTGCGAAAGGAGTCGCCAGGGAAGCAGCTGTTTTTTCTCATGGCTCTTCATGCGCCTGGAATTGGACTCCGGACTGGGCGCTCGGCTGCTTGCTTTTGTCTTGTTCAAGCTTCACAGCACATACGTTGATTGGAATCCTGGGCCAATCAAGAGCCAAGTTCAAAGTGATACTCCAGGACTCTCCATCCCAGACTCCAAGTCGAATTTGTGTCTAGAAGAGAGGAGTCTCTTGCTCTAACTAGTGGATCTCCATTCCATAACTGGACTTACCAGAGTATTCCTCACCGATACCTGGACTGCAGTGGCTACACGGTTCTCTTGGGGATGGGTGGGAGGGTGCTTTGAACTCCAGACCACAACACTCAGAAAGAACCTCGACAATGGACAGAGTTTATGAAATTCCTGAGGAGCCAAATGTGGATCCGGTTTCATCTCTGGAGGAAGATGTCATCCGTGGGGCCAACCCCCGCTTTACCTTTCCATTTGGCATCCTCTTCTCCACCTTTTTGTACTGTGGGGAGGCTGCATCTGCCTTGTACATGGTTAGAATCTATCGAAAGAATAGTGAAACGTACTGGATGGCATACACTTTTTCCTTCTTTATGTTTTCATCCATTATGGTCCAGTTGACCCTCATTTTTGTCCACAGAGATCTGGCCAAAGATAGACCACTATCGCTATTTATGCATCTAATCCTCTTGGGACCTGTTATCAGGTGAGCAACTTTTTAATCTCTTCTCCATCCTCACCCCTACTCCAGACTTGTGCAGAGAAAGATGAAACCAATATTTACAAGATTGTTATTATGCCTGTAATCTAATCGATTCTCCCATTCCCTCCCACTCTTGGCTTCCCTGTCTACCATCCAAAAAACTTATCTCAAATCTTAAATGCCACCATGATGAACATGTGGCATGTATCTGTGTTCCAAAACTATGAATGCCGTTGATAGGTGGCCGGGTGCAGTGGCTCACGCCTGTAATGCTAGCACTCTGGGAGGCCAAGGCGGGAGGATTGCTTGAGCTCAGGAGTTCGAGACCAGCCTGAGAAAGAGCCAGACCCTGTCTCTACCAAAAATAGAATGAAATTAACCAAACAACTAAAATAGAAAAAAAAAAATTAGCCGGGCATGGTGGTCCGCACCTGTAGTCCTGGTTACTGGGGAGGCTGAAGCAGGAGGATTGCCTGAGTCCAGGAGTTTGAGGTTGCTGTGAGCTAGGCTGATGCCACAGCACTCTAGCCCAGGCAGGAGAGAGCGAGACTCCGTCTCAAAAAAAAAAAAAAAAAAAAAAAAAAGACTTCATTAGACAATGTTTGCTGTCTGGATTTGAGTTGTGAAAACTATCATGGAACCAAAAGACGTGATCACCCTGTGCACACAGGCCATAGCTGCAGAGTGTGTAATTTTGATTCTGCCTTCTGGATGCTCTGTAAATTGGATGAAAGTCCGTCCCCCACCCCGCACCACCTTCCATCACATCTCACATTCGGTTTCTGTACCCTGAGCTACTTGGGCTGGTCCTACTGCTATTTTCAAGTTCTCCCAAGTAATTTGACATCTGGAAAAATACCTTAAACCATCTGTGGTAATCTGGTACCCGCAGCCCAATGTAGTTCACTTTTCTTTCAGTTCATCGGGCTCCTGTTTATCTCTTTGTATATTTCTGCAATGAAGGCGCATAGTTGGAAGGGGGCAAAGGAAGATAGTCCATCTCTCTATGTGGATGCAGTAGCACAATGTCATAGCATCAAGCATTTCCATTCAGATTGCCTTGTAGGGAAGGGAATGTGGTTAATCATAGGGAGACAGGTATCTGTGTCAGCAGTCTCATCTGGATGCTATGGAGTTTTCAAGGTAGGGAAACATTACAAAAACTTATGAGTTCAAGGAGGAAGAATGGACCAAGTTTGTCTTGATTGCAAGAGAGGCAGACACTTGCAATCAGCTGAGGAATATGGGTCAGAGTGTTGCAATGGGAAGGTATCATTAGATAACTAAAACAGTCTGTGAAACTGATTAAGAATGGAAACTCCCCTCTTTATAAAATATCCTATCTGTAAATATATAATTTTTATTTGTCAATTATACCTCAATAAAGCTGGAAAATGTTATTACCAATATATTGTTTAATGGAGAGGACTCGATTAGGCTCTATCAGAGAAAATATAGGATATCAACAGAAACAGTGGCCTGGAATTCAGGATACCTGGAGTCTGGTCCTACCTCTGTCATTGACTAGTTGTGTGGCCTTGATGAAATCTCTGATGATGCCTTGGGGCTCAGTTCCCTCATCTGTAAGATAAATGGGTTGGGCAGATCATAGGTCTCAAACACAAAAGCTTGCAGGAGCCAGGCAGGTATCATAAATGAGTGAAATGGGCCGGGCGCGGTGGCTCACGCCTGTAATCCTAGCTCTCTGGGAGGTCGAGGCGGGCGGATTATTTGAGCTCAGGAGACCCTGTCTCTACTGAAAATAGAAAGAAATTAATCGGACAACTAAAAATATATAGAAAAAATTAGCCGGGCATGGTGGCGCATGCCTGTAGTCCCAGCTACTCGGGAGGCTGAGGCAGGAGGATCGCTTGAGCCCAGGAGTTTGAGGTTGCTGTGAGCTAGGCTGATGCCATGGCACTCTAGCCCGGGCAACACAGTGAGACTCTGTCTCAGAAAAAAAGAGTGAAATGGGCCAAGTATAAGAAAAACAGTAGCCTAGTGTGTGACAATAAATGAAAACGGAGTCTCAAAGTTAGAGAAATGATGACGAGTAGTGAGTACCATGGCAATCCTTCAGGAGGCAGCCGCTCACCAGCTTGGCCCAATGTTTCCATGTTGGAAACTGGCCAGATCCCCCAATTTTTCAGGAGAAGCTTCCAAGACAGGATTTTATATGAAATGTCATGATTTTAAATTTTGACAACTGACTTAAAAGAAAAAAAAAACACCACCACAGTATAGATCCAACCAAATCTGTTGGTCAGATGTGACTCAGCTGGCTTATATGCAATCTTTGGCCTGGGTGATCTAAAGGTCCTTTTAAGCCTGGTGCCATGACTTATACCTATAATCCCAGCACTTTGGGAGACCAAGGCAGGTAAGATCATTTGAGCCCAGGAGTTCAAGACCAACCTGGGCAATTTAATGACACCCCCATCTCTACAAAAAAATAATAATAAAAAAATTAGCTGGACGTGGTAACGCACACCAGTAGTCCCAGTTACTTAGGGAAGGATTGCCTCAGCCCAGGAGTTTGAAGCTGCAGTGAGCTATGATTGGGCAACTGCACTCCAGCCTGGGCAACAGAGCGAGACCCTATCTCAAAAAAAATGTCCTTTCCAGTTCTGAGTCTTTGAAGCTCTAAAAGGAAGACCTCATCTGGAACTTGGAACGGAAGAGTTTAAAGATGTCACTAAAAGAGCCAAGAAACCATTCTTCTCTCCTTTTTCAAATGCAAATTGAGTTAACAGAGCAAGAACTCTCAGCATGCAAATTTCAGCAAGTTACCCACCCCTCAACCCCCACTCCACCCCGGTTTTGACATAACCTTTGTTTGCTTTGTGGCCTCCCAAGCCCTTTTTTATTTCGACCCTCTGTATGTAGTGTTGAGTACTGTTTTTCATTTTTGTCGTTTAGCTAGAAATGATTGGGAAGCATTTAAAACCTCTGGCAGCTAAGCCCACAGCAGGGAAAAAAAATAATTAAAAACTCATAAATTATACTCTTGATTTACTTATTTTCAAGGCCAATTACTTTTTTAGGTAGTTAGGAACTTGATTAATGCTATCAGGCACATGAAGGTGTTTGTAGGGCCTGGCTCCCTTACATAAACTGCAAGCATACTTCTGGAAATGAAAATGTACTGTTATTTACTGAAGCTTACAAGCAAGACAAACGCCCTTACTTAAACCAGTAAATAACCTTAAGAATAGAAGCATAAACAGCATTTCATGTCACCACTTTCCTGATACTTTATCCAGCAATAGCACTGATGGGTTTGAGTTAAAATCTAAAATCTTTGGTTAAAATTGCACTTTGGCATTTTTCCTGAATAGGAATAAAGTGTTGCTTTTTCTTCTCTGTTCTTCCTTTTTTTTTTGAGACAGAGTCTTGCTCTGTCACCTGGGCTACAGTGCCATGGCATCAGCCTAGCTCACAGCAACCTCAAACTCCTGGGCTCAAGCGATCCTCCTGCCTCAGCCTCCCAAGTAGCTGGGACTATAGGTGCACACCACGAGACCTGACTAATTTTTCTATTTTTAGTAGAGATGGGGTCTCACTCTTGCTCAGACTGGTCTCCAACTCCTGAGCTCAAGCAATCCTCCCGCCTCGGCCTCCCAGAGTGCTAGGATCACAGGTGTGAGCCACTGCACCGGCCTCTTCTCTGTTCTTCCTTTTCATCTTTTTCTCTCCCAGGTCTTAGAGTTTGTCCTTAAAAAGTTGAAGTTTCAAACTACACGCTTCAGAGTGGTACAAATGCATCAATGCCAGCGTGATCTGTGGAGAACAGCAGGCAGCGCATGCTTCAAACCTTCCTATCTGGAGCCAAAGCCTAGAGAGCATATAAATCTCTGAGCTTGGCTTTGGTCTATTTTTCTATTAAATTACATCGCTGTTATTATTATTCTCTCCTCCCATAATTTCTCACTCTATATTCTTTTCTTCCTTCTCATTCTTTCATTTACTCAGCAAATATTTATCAAATACCCACTGTGTGATAAGGGCTATGAACAAGATAAACACAATCCTCGCCCTCAATCTATTGGGGAAGATGTCTTAATTTCCAACACAAATGTTCTTCCTGTCATAAGAAATAGTCCGCAGTTTCTATTCATTTCAAGGTGAGTGAGGGAAGTGGTAACTTGGGTG